TAATTCCCTTATAACTTCATCCTCGGGATCGCGAGACATCTCTTTTACCTTAAAAGCAGAGGACAAAAGTGAATTTGATGACCAAATAAAATCCACCCTTCCACTGCTAGTCAAGTGAAAGAGCGTGCGAAGGCCCGAGGACAACGTCCCCGACCTAAGCCCTTACTCAAACAAAAACAATGGTGCGAGGAGACGCCCATGGCAAACCCTTAAACTCGCACGGGGAAATCCTCCCTGGTGCGTTACCTAGAATTCAGTTGGAGATCCACCAGAAAACTCATGAGTACACCAGACACGCATAAGCTCTGTCAGTGACAAGCTCGCTCGTTGTCGCGATGGTGTCAGAATCGACAAAATATCCTAAGTTCCTAACGCTCCAACGACGGTTTTGACGGAAGAAAATGGCTTAACCACCTCCAGCCACCAACATTTATCAGAAACCACCCTTACTCTACCCAGTTTCATCCTAACCATATCAAACTTAAGAAAAACAGGGATTGAAACACTTAAAACAAAAGGGGTGAAGAAAACTTATGAGGTCGAATAGAAGAAAAGCTGGTCGAAAAAATCTGGTCGTTGCTCGTGCAATGGCATTATGGCGACGGATACGGAAGCGAGGACAAGAAGCAAGAGAACAAAGATAAGCAAAAAGTTAAAATGAATGCTTCCTCCCTTTATTTATAGACAGATCAGAGGCACGTGCAACTCAGGGGCATCATCATGACCCTAACATAGCCATTATTATGCATTAAATGACACATGAATCGATGCATATGTGACACTCCATCCCTTAGAGTCCCGTCAGCCGTTGAACTCCCCGCTCATCGGCACGTCGGACAACACTCCAGATTCCCTAGGCATAGGTGCCCTCGAGCACCACGAAATGACCTCGTCTTTGTAACAGGCGTCGACCACGCCTACTCCTCCTCGAGACCACGAGCTTCCCTTAAGTTATCACTCATATACTTAGGAGAAACGAATTAGGGGCTCTTTTTCTAGACTAGCCCAATGGCTAGGCATGACCCAATCTACTTTTGCTCCCAGAACGGCCTAATAACCTAAGCCCTGCCAGTTAAGAACAAAAGGAAGCATTCTCTCCTATGCCCCTCTACTGAGGAAGGTTGGCCAGCTGAACCCCAAGATTAGCTGTCCCTCTTCACATTCTTACTCATCACGCACGGTTCCATCATCCAGAAACAGTCACGACGCTCATACTCGCGACCACGCCCTTGACCGTGACAACGACTAGTTCTGAGCACTTCTACCAGGCCCAACGACTAGTTTCTGGCAGTTACCAATTCTTTGGGAGCGAATATCTCAGCCTAAAAATAAGGACCAATGGCCAAACGCTGAGGGAATTATAAAAACCCTCTCATTTGATAGGTCCAGGTATTCTAAATCATTCTAAGACATACTCACTTTGTACTTGCCTTATATTCTCCCGACTCTTACTTTAGCATCGAAGTGTGTTGCATGTAGACCCCTTACTCATCTTTGAAACCCATCATCCTAGACGAAGTCTCTGACCCACTCAAGTTTTGATCAGCCGGTTAAATCACTTTTCATGGATTGTGCACTTGGCATATAAGACAGAACATTTTAAGGCACTTGAATTATATATATTAAAAGAGTTCACAATTCGGTTTGAATTTTGAAGCATGCATAGATCCACACGAAGAGGAAGATGGATTTTTTAATGTGTGGAAGTCTTTACTTGTTGAACATAATGTTCTGCATAGTTTGTGTTTGCATACAATTTTTCAATTTAAGGGAAAATGGGCATGAACTTACGTTCGAAAAAATTCATTACAGGTATGTGGTCTACTCAAATAAGTGAAAACTTTAGTGTTGATTTGAAAAACCATTTGAAGTAAGATTTAGATTTGGTAGAATATTTTACTCACTTTAAAAGGGTTATCAATGGTAAACAGAACAATGAGTCAGAAGGTGAATATGACTTAATATATAAGTCTCTTAAATTGAAAATGCAGAAGGCTCGTATGCTCATACAAGCTGGAAGTATTTACACTCCAAGAGTTTTTTAAGAATTCCAAGAGGAGTGTGAAGAATATCAAGAAACTTACGTAAAGGATTTGAAAGGAGGTGTGTATATTGCCACAAATTATGATAATACAATAGAGAGGATAATAATAGGAGATTCTATGTAACAAAAATTTTCTTGTGATTGTTGTAAATTTGAGACACATGGCATATTATCTAGTCACACTTTGAAATTTTTAGATGTCATGAACATTAAATTAGTTTCGGAACAATATATACTCAAGAGATGGGCAAGAGGTGCAAGGTTGGTAAGTAATCAAGATTGGGATGGAAGACATGTTGAATTAGACAAAAAAACACACTTCATGTAGCGATACAATGAGTTATGTCCTTGAATGATCAATTTTACCAACAGATCTTCAGGATCTCATAAAACTTACACGTTTTTGTCCAAAGTGTATGAAGAGTCGAGCAAAATAGTTGATGATATGTTAGCAAAAAAAAATGTGAATGGAGAATCAAGTGGAATGGTTCATGTATCCATCATCAATTGCAAATGATCAGATTAGGAATGTGGGCACCATTGATATGACAAAGGCCTAAAGAAGTGAGAGATAACAATGACCGACAATGTTGATTGTCATTACGACAATATATGAGTTTTGACAGTAAAGTTATAATAATGTATAAATTTCTATAGTAGGATTATGATAATTTATTAATTATGGCTGTATTTATGAGATAAAAAGATAAGGTAAAAGAAAATAAGAAAAAGAAAAATGTTGGAGAGATGAGATGCAAAGAGAAGGTAAAAGAAAATAAGAGAAATAAAAATGTTTCAGAGAGTTAGAAGTTGGAGTCTGGCAGAAGAGAGACCTGATTTTTCCTCTCTTTTTTTATTAAAGAAAAAAATTATCAATTTTAAATCTTAATCTTTAATTTATTATTTGCCACATGTCTTACATCTATAAATCTAAAAGGATTAAATAGATTTTATTCTAAATGAAGCATACCTAAATTCATATTTCTATATATGAAAAAGAATATTATTATATACGGAAAATAAAATAAAATGGATTTATTATTGGTATAATATTATGTCAATTACCAATCAAAAAAAGTATTAAATAAAAAAATTATCAATTTTAAATTTTAACCTTATTTCCACTCGTCTTACATCCATAAAGCTAAAAGGAAGCTAAAAGGATTAAATGTTGTTTATTTTAAATGGAACGTATCCAAACTCATATTCTTATATATGCAAATGAATATTATAATGTTAGGTCAATGACCGCTAGCTCCTTAAGATTTTATTTGTAAGTTTGGATGATAAGGAAAGAGAAGACTTTGAAAATTAATTTTTTAAAAAATATAGAGAAAATTTTAACACCATTTGAAAAAAAGATTATGTTTATAATTGTAAAATAATGCTTATCATTAATAATTTTTAATTTTTAAAATATTATAATAATAATAATTATAAGTTTAATTGTAATTTTGATCCCTTTATTTTTATTTATTTATTTATTTTTGATCTCTTTATTTTAAAATTTGAAATTTTTGTCCCCTTATTTTTATTTTTTTTACTTTTGAAATTTTGGTCTCCTCTATTTTAAAATCCGAAATTTTGATTCTCTTATTTTCATTATTTTAGCATTTTTGATCTCTTTTTTCAAGGAAACTAAAATTCAAAACAAATTTAAAATTGAAGGATAAAAAAATAGAGAGATCAAAATTCTGGATTTTAAAATAGGAGGATCAAAAATTAAAAAAATAATTAAAAACAATTCTAAATTTTAAAATAAAGGGGTCAAAACTCAAAATAAATGAAAATAAAGGAACCAAAATTTCAATTAAGGCAAAATTATATTTGAACAATTTGTTTAAGCCCTCCAAAATCTTCCTCGAATACAAATTGTAAGTTCTCCAAATTAAAGGATTTTTGGTGTTATAAATAAACACAAACTCTACAAAACTCTCCCGACTAAATTTTTTTCTATTCTTTTCACTCAATCCTTCCTATTTTTCGAAACCCTCGCCTCTATTCCTCTCCAAACTCTCAAACAAAGGCTATATATATATATATATATATATATATATATATATATATATATATATATATATATATATATATATATATATATATATATATATATATATATATATATATATATATATATATTAATTAATAATTCTATCGATGTTAGATATGAGTCACATTTTTTATACGAGTATGAATCGTATGAAAAATATAGTAATTATCATTTTATATAAACTATTCTCTTCGAGTCTTTTAGACTTATATATGATTTGTCTCCTTACTTATCCAAACACAATAAAAGAAAGTAAGTCTCGTGTTTCCTTATTCTAGCCGACATTTTAAGGCTACACAATGACATAATACTCTCTCCACATATAATAAACACTCGTCAAGAATAATTTATAATTGTTCTCGATAGATTTGATCCATTAAAAATGATCTTGCCTAGTGATCTTTCTTCTAAATGAATTAGATCGGAACAAACTATGTTTTGCCTGAATTCAGGCTTGGTGCAAATACTTTTGGGTGAAATTAGATAATGTAAATATACACCAATATATAACAACTCTAAATGAATTAACACATGCTCCATGTCTAAATCAAAACATAACATGTTTTTTTTTACTCTTCATTATGTACAGCACTATTACTATATGCATCTAATTGTTTCATAATTAACGTCTAAAAAATAGTATAGACTACTAATTTTATTGAAACGTTAGTAAAGACATAGATTTTGTGAGGAAATTGGTTAATAGATAGATACCTGCATGTAAGTTTATATGGCATGTAATCTTTGTTTTATTTAGAATGAAAAAAGAGGCCAAATACATATACACACACATATATGTTTTATAAATTCACATGATTGACTATGTGAGTTCTACGATGAATTTAGCCTCGAAACTGGAATATATACATACTATAGCGTAAAGTGCGTGCCTCTCGTGTACTCGTTCTATCCTTTGGTTTTCGGAACCGTCACTACCAGCTTCCCACCGATGCAAACGGCGGTAACTCTCTCCGGCTGCGTGCAAGGCGGAAGCCGAAATCGCCATAAATCAAGACTAAAAGAAGACCGTCTCTCCTGCTGACCGGGCACCACTACATCGCCACCATCGAGTCTCTTTATCACAATTTTAGTTATCCCCGGAAGAATCTCGATTGCGTGAGCACACACACCACCGGAAAGAAAAATATTCGTCTGGTTGCATGAAGTAACGAATCGAAAAAACTGCGCTGTTTCTTCGATCGAAACATCGGCGTCTGAAGGGAAAGGAAGCTCGAGCATTCTGGAGAACACGTGCGGAAGCCTCCATAGCTTCTTTGTATTCGCGTTTGAAATCGAAGAAACGACGACGTGTTGTGGTTGCTTCTTTGTGAAGGGGTTTAGCTTCTTAGCGAACATGCCTTGAATCTGTTTGTGTTATTGTTTCTTAGAGGGAAGTTTTGGAAGTATGAAATTTGTGTGGTGGTATATTTTCTTATAGGAATGTGCTAGATGATGATATATAGAGTCCATTGTTGATTGATTTGACGAAACTACCCTTGAAGAGGACATTGTATATTGTATTGATTGGTTGCTTTTGTTTTCTTTGTTCGAAGGAATCGTGAAAAGTTTTTGCCCCAAAAGAAACGAATAGAATCTTTGTTATGTGATTTATATGTGTTATAGGTAAAGTTAGCAAACAGATTAATACAAAATATCGATTTGGAAATTTTGTTCGCTGCTGTGTCACGGGTTTCATTATAATTTATAAATACATATTCTCTTTGTTATTTAATTGTTTGAATTCTTTTCATTTCAACCTCAAATGTAAAGGTTCTTTTTGTGGTAAGGAAGGCTTGATGAAAAGCTCATATTAAGTATTAACTTGATATACACTTTTCAGGAATTAATAACTAATTTTTAATCATTCTTACTTTATATGAGCCCGGTTCTCACTTTTATTTATCATATATTAATGTATAAAATTGTTAAGTGGTTAACATGAATTGACAAATCGGTGTATTGTATTGCAAATCAGGTATATTAGTATATATTCTCTTAGGCACAAGATAAAACGATGCCCTTCAGACTCCACTTTGGGTGTGGTGCTTATAGCCACTCAAACTTATAAGTAAGCCTAATAACACTTTTGCTTTTGAATTCTTTGATTGAATTTTGTGAAATTGATTTATGTAAATTAATATAATGTTATTATTATTTACTCAATCTGAATCTTCACCTCAATTGTCACGGTTGATGATTCAACCTGTCGAATTTGGAGAAGTAAATTCAATGTTCGCAAAAATTTTAAGTTAATTCATTGCCAAATATATCGAACTCTATCTTTATGATTGAACACTAATCTTGTCGCACATGTCACTATGTGTTTTCGTTTTAACTAAGTATTGTTTTAGCGTCGTATCTTCTTTGTCGAACTCTGCATGTCGTGAATTCCATGATAACAAATTGCCTTAAAAAATGTCACTTTCAACCATTTTAAGAGACATGTGGCATTTTTGAAACTGCCAACACTATTCAGAGTAGTGGATTAATGTCACCATCATTATAGCCACTTTATCAAAATGTCTTTTCGAGACGTGCACCAAAAGATTTTTCATCATGACTCCGATTTCCTAGGGAGAATGTGGGCCACATAACAAACATTCTTTTTCAACTAACCTCTGAAGCAATAAACATATGTCCACTAAAAGGTGGTGATGATTTTGTTCTCAAGAAAGGAAATAAATGAAGAGTCTCTTCTATCAAACTATAAATATAGCTTATCTCTCCATTTTCCCTTTTTTCACTTCATTTCAACTTCCTAGTTCATAAAAACTGCGCATTTTTCTCCAAAAATTTCATATTCTTCACCGTTCCTCCACCATTTCTAAAAAAATGACATCTTCATCAAACTCAGAGCAATCGCTTCCTTTTGTTGCAACGATCAAAGTTCTCATTCTAGTTGGAAATCAAATTTATGTCCCTAAGCCACCAATGGAGGAGAAAAAAGTCCTTATCTGAAAATCTCAGGTACTAATTCCATTTTTTTTTATGTTTCAGAGGAAGTACATGCATTTTTGGGTCCACTACCCGACCCTATTGCAAATGTTAATAAAGTGAGGGAAATGTTCCCTGTTACTATCGCACCAAGCCTCGTGTTTGCTTGAATTAAACCTATGATTTAAGCTTCATGAGTGTCGCTTCTTGAGTTTTCCACTCTAGATAATAATCCAACCAAAAGGAGTACATCTGGGGGCTCAACACGGTGAGTCGAGGACATCACACGCTTGGAAGGAATAATGTCTGTTCGACTTGATTCAACTATCAAGGGTTAACCCCACATACAATTCAGACATGCTTCTCGCAACATTACAATTTTGGGAAAGCTCGACAAACACTTTACAACTCTACTGTGAGAAGATCACACCGACTCTGCTCGACGTAACTGCTATTATTGGTTTTTGACCAACTGGTGACATCTTTGATCCTACCTAGAAACATGATTGTACCATTAGTTTTAACTCTAATAGTGCTAGCTATAGTATTTTCATTATTGACCATTTAAAAACCCAAATTAAAGTCGTATCTGATTAAGAACATATCTCTTTTTTGACACTTTGGTTATCTCATTATATTTTATGTTCTAAATCCCTAAAAATAGCCAAGACGTTTGTTACTTTGGCTTATCAATTGCATGAAGGGAAAAATATTTATTTAGGTCAATTGATTATAGGATCTCTTTATGAATCACCGGGGCTCGCATCTCATGCCCTGCAACATTTTAAACCCAAAGCCAATCTCTCAACTGCTGGTTCTTTTTTGGCTTCTACAACTTTGGCTCAATGACGCGTTCGTATCTTCTCTGAGTGCAAAAATACCAGCTAGTAACGCTGAAGAACTTCAAAATCGACAGCTTGAAGGCACCAGACTCACACTCCTTATCCTGTGTAATGACCCGTATAATATATATCTAGAATAATATCATACAAATGTTATTAGTTGGTACCGATACAATCATAATTTCCTATTGGCATCATTTACATATTGTACCAATCAAACAAAACTAAAATACAACATATGGTACAAGATATGAAAAATGTCAAAATAATATCTAAGATCTAAGTATAATATCTACCATTGTACTAGACACACAACAGAAGATCACAATAAATTGTATCCCATGAGACATCAATCCATAGCTTCCTTGTATACTAAACCTACAAACATTACCTGAAAAATAACAACAATATTGGGGTGAGATAATAATCTCAGTGGGTTCCCCTATCCTATGGGTTCACTCGACTCTACAAGATTCTAATTAAATTCTAACTCAAGTCCAAGGGAAAGGGGGATGAGACTTGAATTCACAAAACTCGCAATGTATAGAAACATGTCTCTTGAGTTCATCAACTCAAACAATCACTAACTCGAGAACCGTACCAAGGTATCTTTCCCCAGCCAAACTTACGTCTAGGATTCTTGACACGGGTCACAGATCCTTATAACATAGGTATCTTTCCCTGACAAGCCATCTCTCTAGGGTTATCAATATGGGTCACAAATACCTATCTCATACTTAGACATACACATAAATTTCAAATTTTAAGGGACTCCTTAACCTTAATAATCGTTGCTTCCTATGGAACTCTTAACCCATTTCAAGCCTTTTACCCATATGTGATTTTCACCCACCATGAGTTCCTCTGCTTTTGGAACTCAAGCCCAGTTCATACAAGTATGAGTGTATACATCCTAATGGATCTCTATATAAGCATCACACTTTGAACGACACAATTAAGGGTTTTTTTTTTCCGACTACGGGATAAAATATAACATAACATGGTCGTATTCAACAATCACAAGATGATCACATTCATCTTAATCACACAATAACAATACATGTTCCACACAATGCATCTCACTCATAACTACGGTTACCATTCATACATGACACTCACCTATGTATCCTTATATTACATGAATGTCACATTCTAGTGTTATCTAAATCATACTTGTAACTTAGTTATCCTTTTAATCCATTTACCTGGTTATAAGCCTAGGTTTCCTCACTCATCTTCATAGTGTTTTAAGCATGTTATTTCACAATTATATATATATATATATATATATATATATATATATATATATATATATATATATATATATATATATATATATATATATATATATATATATATATATATATATATATATATATATATATATATATATATATATATATATATATATATATATATATATATATATATATATATATATATATATATATATATATATATATATATATATATATATATATATATATATATATATATATATATATATATATATATATATATATATATATATATATATATATATAAAATACATTATCATATCTCAATAACATACATGAAACACACATAATAGCATAAACAAGTCAAACATGAATAATTCACACAAGGCATATGATCATCACTATCCTCTACCAATCATTTTTTGTTAGTTCATAGTCCCACATCATCATTTTAATAGCACATTGTATTACCTTTCCAATGCTTCAAGTTTCATAACAATTGAATTCTTAATACTCGACTTTGGTGGAAACGAGAACCATAACATTCACATATTCATGATTTTCCTATCCATTGATGGTATATGTCCATGTTATTATTCATTGTCAAATAGAGCATTGAAGTAGCTTTCCAACACTTTCTACCGTGCGTCAATCGTAGTTACGATTCTCAAGTTATGGGAAAAACGAGAAACAAAATTCTGCATACTGTCATGGCCACCCAACGATCAGCCAACAAGGCTGGCTCGCTTTTGGTTCTCTCAAAGAACCCCAGGCGAGGGCCAGGAAGAGGCAAAATTGCATCATGATCGCTCGACGAAAAGGTAGTAAGTTGTCTCACCTTCTGTTCGCCAAAGCTCGCCCGGAGATAGTGACACAAATCAAGTCGCCTCGAGCTCGCCAGATGAAGCAAGTGAAACTCAGAATTTCCAAAACGCGAATTGGAAGGTAAAAATGGCCAAAACCCAAAACCCAATTGAGCATTTAAGGGGACATGGGATATTACATTCTCTCCCCTTTAAATTGAAATTCTCCCTTGAATTTCCTCTACTCAACAATAACCACTCCTTGCACCACCGTCCCAGGTCAATACTTGACTATGCTTCAGTTAAATTCTCTGACATACTCAATCTTTCAACTTGTCTTCACTAGGGAATTTACTTCTTTCATAAATTCTCAAAACTTCCTAGTCTTAGTCATATTCTTCTTCCAATATTTGATTAATTTCTAACCTTACTCCTACTAAATTCGTCTAACATACCACTCTGATTCACCTATTCACAACTCCCTCCAGAAGCCACGACTTCCTTCCTTGCACTAAGTTACACGGAACATAACCACGAAA